ATGAAATTATTGTTTGCGTCCTTGATTATTTAGTAAAATTGCAACGTTGAAAACTTCTGCTGCGTAGCTTGCGTTCGTAGGATACGTTGCCAGACCTCTGTTTTGACATGGTTTTGACAAATTAATTGATATTGTATTGTAATCGGCTATCTACCGTCGAGCACGATACTTACGAGATATGTAGTCGGACATAGTTATGCAAACTATAACCAACCCACAAAATGTCACTTTCGAGATAATTAGATTTTTGTAAAAACAGTGTGAAGAAATAAATAGGTAAATTATTTGAGACTAGAGATGCGCCGAGTACTAGTTTGCTACTCGGTACTCGGTGTACTCGGCCGAATAATTCGGTTCACGAGAAGAGTACTTGGTTAAAATAAAACATCACAGCTAATAAAGTAAAATCAATATTATATTTAAAATATTCAAAAGAGATTTATTACTAGAAATTGTAACAATTTCTAGCTATTTAGTAATTTAAAAAGAAAGTTTACATTATTAATATTTAAAATTTAACAAAGGCAAGTTATAATGTAGGAATATTTACAAGACTTTCTGCGCGTTAAGGTAATATAGTCTGTTCTTTTTTTCTTCATACACATTACCTGCTTCGGCATATAACCGCTCGCTATACATAGTGCTTGCAGGTGCACATAAAAACACTCGTGCTAACTGTGCCAGTTTTAGATATTTTGTTTTATGCTCTGCCCAAAATTGGAAAGGACTCTGCTCTCGCGACAATAAACTTTCATTGACATATCTGCCTAATTCTAGAGCAACGGGGGCTTTTAGGATAATCGCGTTCCGGTTGTAATGAACCGAGCAACTCGGCCGAGTACTCGGCTCGGCAAATGTTAAACCGAGTAATATTCGGTACTCGGTTACTCGGTAAAACTTGTACTCGGCGCATCTCTATTTGAGACAAACGATGTACTGTAGCAGTGAGAACGATATAGTGAACGATATACTATTATATTATATAGCAATAAATAGAAAACATTATGTATCCTTTTATTTAGTTAACCTGAAACATATTCTAGTTTTCGTAATGAAAATGCCAAAGATCTACAGTACTTCAGTACATGTGACATGGATCCGTTTAGCATATTTTAAAAAAGATATTATAATAAGTTAAGCAACAAGGTTCTTTTTACCTATTAAAAAGTTACTTATTTAGGGTTGGTACCCTGAAGTACTTTTATTTTCTCCGTTCTGGCTTGGTATGTTGCCAGGATCTTTTGTGAGCGGGTAAAGGACACGTCTGGTGTTCTACCTAAATACATACCTAACTCAATTTCACTCGAGGTGTGGGTTATTTCTTGTTTGCATAATATGTCCAGTTCTTATATGCTTTGATATTTTTTGGTTTGATAGCCTGTGTGTATTTTAAGTACAACGCCATCTGTTAGCGGCAATCAATATTATGTTAAATCAAGCGGAAGGTCCAACTACCACACTCTTACTGCATCGGGGCGTATGGCGCCACCTTATTGGAGAAATTATAGCAGGCGCGTTATCGCTCAAGGTCATCCACGCAAGGTCATCGACGCTTGTCAGCGTCTTACGTTACTTTGTACGCTGTGCATGGTTCAAGTGCTTTGTAAAAGATGTTCAAATTGTTTAGGCAACCTTTCCATTTTTCCTTTGGAGTCCCCACTCCCGATTCCTGATTTAGAACTATTATTTTGATGGTTATTTTTAATAACTTAGTACACCTTCCCTAGCAGCCATTAAATAGAGAAACATCTTTATATGATACCTAGGGATGGGACGAACAAGTCGTGTGACTGGCGTCCATAACAGTTGCAGTGCTAACCAGAGCCTTGAATCGCAAAATCTGAGGGACACTGACAATGCGCTCGTCACACAGAGACATAAATTGATAAATCGCTCGCAAACGTGGCTTAATCCAAAATTGACCCTTTTTTACTTATTACTGAGATTTATTCAGAAAATGTTATCATATTATGAATATATTATGATTAAATTTTATTGCTATTTGCATTCCAAGCTTTTCATTAGTTAGAATAATCACATGACAACATTGGGATGGTCTACGATTGGTCCACTTTGAGCGGCAGACAGAATTAGATGCTTTTGAGATAGGCCACTGTTCTAGAAATCCATCGATGTCTATGCTTTTAAATGACTACACAATCCTAATAACTACTCATAAAATTGGAATACTTGACATGGATGCTTTATTGGCTTACCGCATTGACTTACAAAATGGCTTACCGTTGCCATTATAATGGAACTGAATAAAAAGAAATTCATACAATTATAACCCATACTTATTAAACACCGAGTTATAATTAGTAATACAATTGTAATAGTTAAATGTGCAAAATTAATACACAAAACATAATTACAACGTTATTATAATTGCCTTATTAGAAATAACAAGCTATGTACACAAGCTAACACAACAAGCTACACATTGACGTATCTTGTTCCGTTGCACTGGAGGCGATTTTCGAAGAAAAATGTGTAGTCTGATGTGCCGTTGTACGTACAATACAAAGAATTAGTCCTTTCTCTTCTTATTACGATTAAGAAGGCTTGTGTTAAAAGATTAATGAATGTAAGGCGAGAATGTAATGTTGCAAATTGCATTTTTTTACATTAATCGAAAGTCTGTACTAAGTCTGGTTTTATTTTATACATTGTCCACCTAGTCGTTGTTTATATAGTTCTTTTTTATGATACCAAGTTAAGTAGCAGTAGAGCTCTTTGCCACTTACCTATTTCTGCAGCTAGGCAGTAATGTGTGCATTATTGCCTTCCGGTTTTGAAGGTTTAAGGGTCCTGGTGAAAAGTGAGGGTTCACTGGCAGTAGCCCTCACATCTTTGTGATTTAAAGCTCTGAGTGGCACTGCAATTGTTATGGACAGGCGTGTCGCTTACCACCAGGCACACGACTTGTTCGTCCCGTCGCTTGGTATCATAAAAAAGTACGCTATACAAAATTTCAGTGGACCTGATTTTATCACTACCGTTTTTCAATCTCCACAGATCATATCAAGCTCCTCTCCACCGTGTTGTTGTCCTTATTACCAGAAAAAAACTTGACTGTTGTTTTAGTACGTTTTTAATAAGTACTTTTTAATTAAGTGTCTTAACAGTGTATATAACCACAAATGGCTTTGGTTGATTTGGAGAAAATATAAAGTACAATTGAGGATGTACTCTGAAAGCTACGGTGTGAAAACACGATTCCTAAAAACTTTCAAGATAGAAAAACACGAACTTACCCCGAAATTTTACAAGAAAACCGTTGTATTCAATAGGTACTTAACATATGATGATTATTTGTATCAACTGAAGTAAATAGAACACGTTTCAGAACTGTACGATATACCTAATTCTTTCTAATGGCTTTAATTTTGTTTCTAAAATAATAAATTCTGTAATCAGGCCAGTGTCCCTGCCGATCGTACCAAGCAAAATTAACGTAGTATCGAGTCTTAAGCTTCATATGTCTCGACATTCCCGAAACGAAAATGCCAAAATATTGAGATTTAATATAGAGATCCGAAATTTTTGAGATCGAGTTTCCCGGGATGAAAGTCCTCATTATCATCTCATTTATACGTCCTATTTGCTCGGCACAGGTATCCTCTCAGACGAGGGTTTAGGTTATAGTTGTAACTATACGACCTCTTTCATCGTCATCCCTTTTTTTATCACCCATTTAGAATAGAATAGAATAGACATTTATTGCAACGTCACAACACGTAGATACAAAAACAAAACAAAAATTGATAACACAGATAAACAAAAGAAATTAACAAGAATTAATGAACAAAATAAAGAATACAATAAAAAGACAACAACATAAAATAAGACAAATCAGACAAAAAGCAAATAACAAAATATAACGATTACAAATTTTGTTATGTCATATGTGTGGTTGTGGCGTACGCAAAAGGACTTCATTCAGCATAAGTCACAGCCATGATTTCTCTGGTTCCTGTCCACCTACTTTGAAATTTTGAATCCTTCTTAAATTCCTTTTCTTCGTCACTTACTTTTCTTCTTTCCATCGCCATTCTCTACTAAATTCTGAAGCGAGCACACGTGCTCGCCATCATATAGAATTCTGATCAGTTACTTATACCATTGGAAATCAAGTAACCTAACTACTTATAAAACATCAGTATTTGTACGAATACAGACCCCAAGGTAAGTTTGTTTACGTTAAATGTTAATCCGTTGTAAGGGAGTGTTTTTATACGATTTTACCTGTTTTTGTATCATTATGTTTTGTTACCGCCTTTACGCCTTTACTTTACTTGTTCTTCTTTTCCCTTCCTTTACTCTTTCTTTTTTCTACAATAAAATTCAAGTGGACCGAGAATTCTATTAAGATTTATTGTATTATTATTCTAAGAGCCTAGGCTCTTGCCTAATTAAATAGAAATACTCGCGTGACATGGTACGCCACACTGGACCAATGCGGGTTGGAGACCTCTGACGTTTTCCGAATTTTGTGAAATCAACAAATCAACTTATTATTGAATATCGTCAGAAAAATCTTGTTGAAATATCCCGTGTGCAGCGCGATATAACTGTTACGTAATCTGTCATTCCTCCCGCACCGCGCAGCTACCTCAGGAACCGAATCGGTACTGCTTAGTACGCTTTGATCGTTTCTCCTCCCCACGTGTCGCTTGAAGTGTGGGCAGTCACCTGCAGACCGACTCCACGCGCACGCATTTTACTTTACGTACAAATTTTCTCATTGTGTTATCTTATCTCATTATTGTGTTTGTGAAATATCGAGCAACAAGTTATCATTAAAGTTTTCTTTAATTCCAAACTGCATTGCAAAACAATATATTATAATGTTATATACTTTAAATCAGCAACATAAAAAATTATATATGTATTTATACACCTTTAGTAAAAGTTCGGAAGATATTGTAATACTATATAAATAAAATTTGTCAATGATAAGATATATGTTTTATTGTAAATATGTTTTTGTTTCGCGTGATTACTATTTATTATTATTATTTATTTACCATTGTTATTGTTGTTATTATTATTGTTATTACCACCCCAACCATTGTTGTTGTTGTTGTTGTTATTGTTATTTGAGCCGCCGCCGCCGCCGCCACCGCATCCAAACAAACATCCGAGCAAACCGAACGTAAGTTTTTTAGGGTTTGCGGAGTTGGCCTTAGTTGTATACATAAATGTGGCGTAACAATTTGTTTGACACGTTCTAGAGAACCAACACTTAACAGCTTGCTGAATGCGGGGATCTATGCACAAGATATCATAAACTGCTTCGCAGGCTTTCGTGCACCTTTCTATGACTCGACATATATCATTGGGATAATAAGGGTAGTAGCAGCCACAAGCGGCGCAGTCTTCTTCACTGTTAGGATAATACACTCTACTTGAACCAGCTGTACCAATTGCACCACCTGCACTTTTTGGAGACATTTTGTCGTCATCTGGACACTGAAAAATCGTTAATAATTAAGTCCTATAATAGCATATGTATGTTCAAGTTCAAATAATTGTACTAGCGGTGGTAGCTCAATGGGAGGACGGTTGTTTCTAAGATGAGAGGGCGGCGTTTGGAGTCCTTGTGAACGTTTGTTAAAGTTTGTAGCAATGTGTCTCGCTAATAATGTGGGAAAACACCGTGATGAAACCTGCACGTCGAAAAGGTTCACAGCTCCTAGGAAACTTGTGAAGTATTCAACTCGCTTTGGACCAGAGCGTGGCGGTCTACGGTCTAAACTCTCTCGTTACTTGCATTTTTCACTAAGTACCTAGTCACGGGTGCGATTCCTATTTATTTAAGCAATATGTTCCACATCGAATAGCTGCGTACAGACGGAGTAGCCTCGCAAGGCTGCCAACCGAGGAAAAGCCGACCGAGCATGTGCCTCGCCAGTACTTGCTCTAGTGTTGTAAAAAACTCGAGTCCGGGAAGACTCCCGTCGACATTTTTGGACTCGACTCCAATTCATAAAACTCGACTCATAAAGACAGAGACTCCACTGCTCGATGTATCACGAGCTTATCGAGTTTCCGGACAGACTGGGGTTTAACGTTAATGCTCGAGTCTATTTATGCAACGACTCGCGCTCGACTTCAAGTTTGTTTACTCGGTACGAGTCGAGCTCCAGTCTGGTAAGTATCTACTGAGCGGTGTAGTATAATTAAGTATTAATATCTTCTTGATCTTCAATCACAATATTGAGTTTTTTGTTTTTTATTTAATTTGTGGGCATTAGCAGCTTTTCAGTAAATTGAACCCTGCTTGCCGTGCTCGACACTTTATAGAGTCGTAGTTCTTTTTAAATCTCGATGCTTTGATCACTCGCGCTCGACTTGACTCGGATTCGTGAGTGTTAGTGTAGGCCACCGAGCCATAGGAAATTGAGTCGAATTTATAAATGTAGACTCCCGGACTCGAGTTTTTTATAACATTAGCTCGCTCAGTCTGTACGCGGCTATTGACGCGGACAAGGAAGTAAAATTAGCTGCTACGGCTGCAGTTAGTCGTGGCTAATCGCGTAGTGGAAAATGGCCTTGTGGTACAATTAGGGGCTGTCGATAAATAATTATACTGACATAGCGTGATAACTTAAATGATTGACATACAATACTGTGATATACAAGTTGTAATCGTTAAGTGTGTCCAGGCGATTATCCTGTAAATATAATAGATATAATAGCAGTAGAGCACCTTGTGAAAGAATTCGTCCAGGGAAATACTGCCACCTTATCTATATCTGCCGCCAAGCAGTAATGTGTATTACTGCGTTCCGGTTTTGAAGGGTAAGGGCACTGGTGAAATTACAGGCACGTGGGACTTGTCAACTTATGTCTCAGTCGCAGTGAAGCTCCGAGTGGCACAATAACTGTTAGGGACAGGCGTGTCGCTTACCACCAGGCACATGACTTGTTCGTCCCGTCACTTAGTAGTATATAAAAGAAACGAACACTTTTATTACTAGACTTTATACTGATATCGAAATTACGTCACCTAATAAGTAAAATGACGTCAATAACTTTTTAATTACAAATATTTAAAATTTTAACGTGAAACGCAGAGAGCAATAAAATTATTAAAATTACAATTAAAATTTTTATAATTAAATAAGTGCGCATTTGACCTCCATCTCACCTGATGGTAAGTGATGATGAAGTCGACGATGGAGCATGCACACCTTAGTAATACACCTATTCACTCTCGTTTTGAAAAGACCTAAATTATACCGACCAGGGTACAAGTATGTAGGCAGGGAATTCGACTGCATAGCCCTTCGCCCTATAAATGTGAAAGCGAAGCGCGAGGTGTGAATCTTTGGAATATCCACAACATAGGGATGGAACCACAGCCTACGTCTTGTTCCCCTATGATGGAAAGGGGAAAGCGGAGTTAATTCATGTAATTCAAGCGCACATTCTACATGGATATTACTGGTTTTATTTTTATAAAGTTATTGATGTCGTTTTGCTCAGTAGGTAATGTGCTTTCAATATCAGTTCAATAATATAAGAAATTACAAAAGAGAGTTTGTTACAAGCCTGAAGCCGAAGGCTGAGGGCGTTAATGACTCGAGGTTTGTAATTTTCGCCGCCCGTGCTACATACAATGTTGTATGTGATACAACGATAATTTATTTCTTGTATGAATAAGTATCGTTTCACAACACAACATTTACCATTTTGGAAAAGGCGGGTTTTTTGTTCTTTTTTTTAAACAGATTGCCAGCTTCCATAATACAACTCGAACTAAAATGTTATAAAAGGTACAGACGCATGCAGCCACACTGTATTAGATGTAAAATAAATCATTTCCAATTGCTAAAAATACTGCAATATTTGAATGTACAAAATAAATTTTAGTTTTTTTTAAAGACACAAGTTTATGCTAAATATACGTTTAGATTTTTCAAGCCTTTTTTTTTTCAAACTTTTTGCTTAATCGTAACGTAAAAAATCCATAGGGCGATAATTACAAATTTCATAAAAAGCCTGTGAGCATAATTTAGGACATTACGATCGACCTTGCCTGCTTGTCATGGCACTGTGTCAAGTGTGATGAAAAGATTTATGATTTAACTTATATTTATTTATGGAATAATCGCCTGGATGCACTAAACAATTACACTTTAGTTTCCATGACATTTACAAGTTTGAAAATATAGGCATAGCCACGACACGGCATCAACACGAATAAAAAACTTTAACCTCTTTTTTTTCTGGTTACGAAATAGTTTGACTTACGTCCAAATCCTGTGTATTTACTCTAAGTTGATTCATAACTTGCGAGTCAAGGAGGTCTGCTAGCTCCGAGAACTGTGAAAAAAAAGTTGTTTAATTTCTCCTCCCGAGTTCACAATCCTGACTTCTGGATTCGAACATAAGAAAATAACGATATCATGTCTGCCGTCAAGAGGTAATGGGAGCATTATAGCGTTCCTATTTTGGAGGGTAATGAGGGTGCTGTTGAAATTACAGGCACATAGGACTTGTAAATTTACGTGTCAGGGTGATGGACGCAGTGACAGTGCTCCTCAGTTCTTTGCGATTTAAGCTTTGATTCTGCACTTAGTAATATTAAAAAAAAATTGCTTACCGATGCCGTCATAACAATTGGTATAATACTCATTAAAAAGAAATTAAAACCGAATAAACCCATTTTTATTAAACGCAGAATAAAAATGACTGAGAAATCCAAAATAATTAAACGTGTAAAATTATTTAACACGCTTGTACTGCAAATCTGGAAAAGTAAGTTAAACATCGATATAACATGATGGATTAATTGCCTCATTAAAAATAACAAGACTGATATTATTGAACGATTAAAGTACATTGTATATTGCACGAAACGAAAAAGGTCAAAGCTTAATATACTGACAAGTGACTGAAAATTGGGACACTTTACAGGATGCTTTTATTTTATACGACACCCACGCCATGAAAGGAATAAATAAATTTATAAATATATATATTTTTTAAATTAGTGAGTTCTGTTAAAAGCCCGCAGATGAATTAGGTTATGAATGAACGATAAACGTTTCTTAATGAAATCTATAAATGTAACGTAAACACAGAAGCTTTCCTTCTTAAAAAAGAATTTTTAAAAGACTTCACTTAAGCCAACTCGAGAAATTGGCCTTTGATTTTTTATTTTACTTTCTAAAATACTCTGACGGAATTACATAACTAAGGTAAATGTCCCAGAAGTGGACGCTTTAAGACGAAAAATCAAGTGAACGAGCAGTGGCTCAATAAAATTACGTTTTCAAATGTAAAAATTTTACCTATGAAATAAATTATTATTTGCCTTAGACTTTGACATATACAGCAAACACTAAACTCGCGTTTTCACGCGCTGGTCGTTTTCTCGACGCACATCAAAGGAAAGGACCAAATAGGAAAATAGCAAGTAAACCGTCCACACTATGGTCATATTCATTATGTTAACTCCTTATTTAGCTCCATGTAAAGACGGTCATATTTGTCACTGTCTGTGTGTTTGTTTGTACGTCAAATATTTTTCCAAGTACATCAAACACCCAATAGCGAATACAAGTAACCATGTGAAGTGCCACTACAATACTGCATTATGCAAAGTACGCACATATGTAGCCTTACGTGGACTGTTGTTTTGAATTTTGATAAAAAATAAAGATATTTAGAACTAATTTTACATATTTATTACGGAGCACATACATTACATGATAAAGTCGAACGTTGAAAGAAAAAGACGGAGTTATCATAATTTTTATATTACCTATATAACAACGTGTTGTCAAATTTAATTATATTCAAGGAAATATAACCTTATTCCGTTTAATACGTTGCTTTGCTCATTTTAATGCATCGAATCGTCGCGTCGTTTGCCTGTGTCAATTTGAGGCGACCCTTTGTATTGTACGCTATGATCTCTACTGCACCGTAAAAGATACGAGGGGATCTATAAAGCACCTTATGAATTAATAATTACTATTATTATTTAATATAATGTTCATGGTAGCAATAAATATACAATTGGTAATTTACTCATTTAATATTATTCTCAACCACTTTAATACTTCCTATTTGATCACCACAAGATAGCCTTAGTCTAGTGTGGGCCTCAACACTTTAAGGCTTAACTCACACTGGCGCAGAGTCGACGCGTCGCGACGCGTCATGCTTTTCGCCTATAGCATATTCATATCTATTTTCCCATTATTAAGGTACAAATTTGTGTTTTGCAAATATGGAATCGATGGAAGCATTTGAGTGCCGCGCGTCACTTGGGCGCCGTGAGGCGTCATGGCGTGTTCCCACTATGTCGTGACGACAGATTCCCGTGCAGTTTACAGTGTCGTGGCTTGTATATTTAAATGAAGTTGTTCACACATAGCACGACACGATTAACTGTCGTTCACGATTTTTTATCGTTACAACGACAAACCGTCGTCACAGTGGGAACAGCTAGAACGACAGTCGTCGGACGATTAATGTCATGATAAAAACTTGACGACAGATTGTCGCAGCTCCAATTGTCGTCACGTTTTAATTATTGCTGTACCCCGCGCCCTCTGCTCGCTTTGCAGTAGCGTTGGGTCGTAGCCAGAGATGGGCAAGGAGGCTGTCGTGAAACGATAAATTGTCGTCACGATCTAGTGGGAACAGTTAGTCATGACAGTCGTTCAACGATAAAAAATCGTCCATGACAGATAGTCGTGATATGGGAACAGGCTAGACACGACAGTCGTCCAACGATAATAAAACGTGACGACATAGTGGAAACGCGCCCTCAGACGCCGCAGACGTATGATTATTGAATAAAAATCTTTTTGAAACTCGAAAGCAATCTTGAGTAGGTAATAGTTTTTATTTATTGGTTATTATTATTGTTATTATGTGGCACTCCCATTATTGTTGTTGCTGTTGTTATTGTCACCACTTCCGTCATTGTTGTAATTGTTATTAATACCAACTGTACCAATCATAATAGTCATAACTGCTGTGTTTCCTGGAAAAAACAAAATCGGATTTTTGTGATTACTGTACATACAAGCATAAAAATGAAAATCCTAAAAAAATAATTGAATATCAATTCAATAAAAATTTACAATACAGTGAATAGCGACATTCCTCGCCAGGGCTTGTAGCTGTAAAGGTATCTAAATGGGTTATCACCCATTTCATAGAACAAAACTTTCATAGATTTCTCATAGATGGCGCTACGACTAAAAAGTCGTTGAAAAACCAAATACAAAGACACGACAACAAGCACATAGAAAAATTCGTGAGGACCGCTGGTTCGTTCCGGGGCTTAGTTGGTATAACGTCTGGCACGACATGCTAGAAGATGTCAGTTCGAATCCGGCCGAATCGAAGGAATTTTTTCTGAGTGTTTGATCTTTGTATTAATAATTATAACAAACTAGTGGAGTAATTTCACAAAAAATATTGAATAACAATTGAATAAAAAATTTATATTACAGTGAATAGCGACATCTCGCGCCAGGGCTGGTAGCTGTAAAGGTATCTAACTGAGTGATAAAACTTTCATAGATTTCTCATAGAAGGCGCTACGATAAAAAGTCGTTGAAAAACCAAATACATAGATACGACAACAAGCACATAGAAAAATTCGTGAGGTCCGCTGGTTCGTTCCTTGGCTTGGTTGGTATAGCGTCTGGCACGGTCTGCTAGAAGACGTCGGTTCGAATCCGGCCGGATCGAAGGAATTTTTCCTGAGTGTTCGATCTGTGTATTAATAATTATAAAAATCTTTTTTGAAACTCGAATGTAATCTTGAGTGATATCTTTCATTTACTTTTTTTTCTTGTATTTTTTGTTGTTGTTGTTGTTGTTGTTGTTGTTATTGTTGTTGTTGTTGATAATAATAATTTTATCATTTCCAGCATAGTAGACATTTTGAGTACTTTTTAGTTGTTTAATGTCGTTGAGTTTTGTAGCCTTTTGGTTTTTACTGGTACCGTGTAGGAGTTTTTTGCTCTTCGCAGTATACATAAATGTGGTGTAACAATTGGCTTGACATGTTTTTGAGAACCAACACCTAATGGCTTGCTGAATTCGGGGATCTATGCACAAAATGTCATAAACTGCTTCGCAGGCTTTCGTGCATTTTTCTATGACTCGACACATATCATTTGGATAAAAAGGGTAATAGCAGCCACAGGCGCTGCAGTCTTCTTCGCTGTTAGGATAATACTGTCCACTTATACCAGCTGCAACATTTGCACCGCCTGCGCCATTTGCACCACCTACATCTTTTGCACTACTTTTTGTAGATGTTTTGCCGTCCTCTGGACACTGAAAAGATAAAAAATAAACTTTTGCCACAACATAAGGGACCTCAATCCTAAGATTTACATAAATAACTTGTAATTTGTGTAAAATGTTGTTCAAGTTATTATATGTGTACATTAATAAATGTGGCTATAAATATAAATTTATATGGGCATTGTTCCTCGAAGGGCTAAATTGTCTGACTTCCAAGGTTGATTTTTTCTTAATTTCAGCCAAAACATTGAACGGGAAGGAAAAATAACTCAAACTAACATAAGATTCTGTTAATTGGGTAACTAGACTCTTAACAGTTAATTACAATGTTGACGAATAAGAAAAAAAAATAAGCCTTCGATGGCGTGGAGAGCTGCGTGATAGGTGAGCTCGTAAAACATAATGAAGGGAAGCCGTGCTACCACCAACTTATATCCAGAACGCCTCTCACTCGAGACTGGTGTAGTTCCCAAGTCGTGGAAGCTTGCAAACGCGCAACCTGTGCCAAAAAAGGAAGCAGAGCTGACCCTGTCAACTGTGGGCCTATCTCAGTCACTTACTAAGCAAGACTATAGAACGTGTACTCAACAACCGTCTCCTCTCGTACCTTGAAGACAACGACCTCCTCAGTGATCACCAGTACGGATTCCGACGAGGGCGATCTACAGGGGATCTTCTTGTGTATGCCAGTCACATATGGAGCGAGGCTATAGAAAAGCAAGGCGAACTAAGGTGTCTTTGGTCATTTCTAAAGCCTTTGACAGGGTCTGTAACGCAAGCCTTTTAAGTAAGCTTCCCTGTTTTGGGCTTCCCACAAACTTTTGCAATTGGATCACGGATTTATTGAGAGAACGTTCCATTCAAGTGGTCTTAGAAGGCTATTCTTCCGAATAGAATAGTTCCTCAAAGTTTCGTACTGTCTGCAGCACTCTTTCTGCTGCATATCAATGATATGCTAATTGCAGGTACCTATGCGTATGCTGGTGACAGCACAGCACAGTAGATAGGTACTTGACCAATGCAAGGGTCAGTGAAGAAGAAATCCAGTCTTGTCGACAGTCTAGGGTTAGCCGTTTGGATTTGACACTCAGGCAGTCGCCGATTGGGGCAATGCCAATCTTGTCAAATTTAACCCTACCAAAATGCAGGCGTATCTATCCTCCACAAAACGGAGTTCATTTGAGC